CTATGACAGGCCACATGCCCTTGACATGGGCCTCTTCATCACAACCCTGGCCTGGTGGTTGTGGGGGTCTGCGGGCAGGGGGGCTTGGGGCTTATCTGAATCTGGGTGCCCCCTTTCATGAAGGGGACACCCAGATGCCGCCCCCACCGTGAATGATTATGGGGTTGTTGTTACTCCTAATAGCAAAATAATAATAGTTCAATAATAAAAAAGTATAAAAAACACAAATGAATGAGTGATTTGGAGCACACAGACTTCTCTGTGAACACATGTTATATAAAGTCACAACTGCTTCCTTGTGGCTTTTTTACTGTGTACAATGTTGTTTCCTTCAAGTTTCTGGTACCTCAGTGTGTTCCTTCCTCTTTCTGTTCTTTTCTGCCCGTTCAATAGGGCACCTGATATTGTGTCTTGGGCCCCTGCTTGCATGGCTACAATGTAGTTCAAGCTTTAGATACTTCTCCACTCTGTCCAAACCTTACATCCATCGAAGGCTTCTGAACTAACTTGGACCTCCTGGCATCAGCACAGTGGCATAGTGGTTAGTGCTTCTGCCTTGCAGCAATGGGGGTCATTGGTTCAAAACCCAGCCAGATCACCATCTGCAATGAGTTTGCATGTTCTCCCTGTGTTTGTGTGAGTTTCCTCTGGGTACTCTGGTTTCCTCCCACCATCCAAAGAAATGCTGGAAAGGTTAGTAAGCTCCTCTCTAAATTGGCCCTCTATGTATGCATGTGAGATAGGCACCTTAGATCGTAAGCTCCTTGAGGGCAGGAACTGATGTGAATGTGCAACTATGTAAAGTGCTGCGTGAATTGTCGGCGCTATATAAATACCTGTAATAAATAAATTAGTAAACTAAATGTGAGATTGTAGTCCATCACAGGAGTGAGCTTGGAGTGGTGGCTACTTTACAACACACACAGGGACCATGGGCAACAAAAGTAGCCACCCTCCAGAAGGAAGGACAGTGTCAGCACCAATTCAGAGATGATTTGAGGATCTACAGCCGAGTGATACACAAATAAGATACATTTTTGTTAATAGTTAAGGTACTTGAATGGATTTTTAAGATTGTAGTGGAAATCATAGCAGCTTTCCGATCACAAGACCTGTTCGTCAGGCAGATAGCAATTCTCGGACATCAGTAGGAGCTTTTGTATTGAAACCTTACTATGATTCCCCTAAAATTATTATTTTTTTAAAAGTACAGACTTGTGGCGAAAGTATGATTCTTGTTATCCCAGCTAACATGGAACCATATGCAACTTGGTAGTCCTAAATGTAAGCATGTTACTAGCACACACAATTGTTGCAGTTTCTACATGTACTGCAACAATTAAATCTGCCCTCTAAGATCTCCATAACAATTCTTCTAATCACATTGGTCCTTCTGTGTACATATTGGTGTAAATCAACCTGCTTGTGTCACATGATGGCACAACCTAATCATATATCAGTCTTGATGTACGTCAGAGAAAGGAACAGTAATCCGGTTTTTCGCCACCATAAACTCACCCAATCGGATATCTCCATGTTGTGTCAGAAGGATGTTTCCGGCTTTCAGATCTCTATGGATGATTTTAAGGGAATGTAAGTATTGCAGTCCCTGCAGGGTCTGTTGACAGGCTACGCTGATCTGGTTCTCTGAAAGTCCATGGCCCAGCTCTGCACATTTGGAGGATTGAATATAGAGATGATCACAAGGACAGGTATAATCAGGAAATCTCTTCCACAATTATTAGCATCAAATGCAGCAACAAATGTTTGTATACTGACCTATCATGACAGCATCAAGTGCTCCTCCAGCACAGAACTCCACCATGATCTGAAACAAAAATATAGCCCAGCTGTCAGTCTTATATGGTTCTGTTGCCTGTAGTATTTGATAGTACTGGAAAAATGCCTGCAAAATTCTGCCAGACTTTTGTACTTTATCTGCAGCTGTCAAACACATTTTTTAAGGTTATTTCCTTGCTTATGTACCTACTATTTCTTTATGCCACCCCCCTAAATCAAAATGATGTGCTACAGTGTATTTATGGTCAATTATCTGAACCTTCACCAAGATTATAAATTCTTCACCAATTCTCTATGCTGCTATCATTCTGCTCTCTCTGCCTATTATAATGACCGTTCATTATAATTTCTTTTCTTCTGTTCCTTTGTACTTTGTCCCTCTGAAGCCTTTCCTGTGTGTACAGTCTCCATCTATACCCTCTGCCACGAGTTTCATATATACTTCTCCCCTTTCCCCCGCTCTGCTGCCAATACTGTGTGTGATTTTGTTGTTGTTTGTAACTATCCTGTGTGCACTTTCTCCCATTAAACATTCTGCTGTTAATATTATATAGCACTTCCCTGGCCTCTAGAAGAATGTGGTGGACACCAGAGGCAGGATGGGGTGACATTTCACCTCAGGGATGAGCCTGTAGCCAGTTGTGGGATGAGAATGTATAAATGGGCACCAGTCACTTTGAGGATTTTTAAAGATTTTCTTCCATCAGCAACTCAATGGGAGACAGAGTAAGGGGCTAAAGACATCTAGGACAATACAGAACTCTAGACTCACCGACCACTTCCCAACTTCACAGTGCAGAGGGCCTTGAACCTCCTAGTGATTGGCTAGGGAGATACAGTATTTATAACGCACCATTATTGGATGCTCTGCTCTGTGGCAAAGTCAAACCCAGCAAGAGGCAGATGCAAAAAAATTACAGAGTGCTTAGGGGAAACAAAATTACTACAGAATATCAAATTAGTAGGGCTGGTAATGATTAAAATTTCCGTGTTCGATTAATCAAAAAAAATTTTTATCGACTAATTTCGATTAATTATAACGCACATACAGATCCAACTACTTTTAGCTGATCTGCTTGCATTGCAACTCTGCATTAGTGAGTTTATGCCCAGCCCTCCACTGACGTCACCCTGCGTATCTATCGCACTGTTCACTGCCAGCGAGACACAGCAGGACACGGCAAGTCTGACCGCAGCCGAGCGGTCTCCTCGCCTCACCCTCACGTAGCCATTAAGGCTCAGCCTGGCCAGCTGAGACCTTAAAACTCCGCTTTTGACTCTTAACAGAGAAATCCTTTGACACATATGTCCCTGAAGGAGGCACCGGGATTACACACAGTTCATAACCTCTCTTTTTCCCTATGACCCGGGCTTCCTGATACGCGCCGTCTCTGCAGGGAAACACCACTCCTCATCGGTTACCATTGAGGCATCTATTCATCTCATACAACAGTGAGTCATTTCACCCCCATTTTTTAACCATTCAATCCTTTCCAGTGCCTATCAAGCCTTATGCCAATGTTGCCATGCATAAACACCCATACATGTGAAATTATATGTATACCTAAAGGGCAGATACGAATAATCGAGGAATTAATCGCTAATTTTCGCAGCCCTACAAATTAGCTAGAGTGGATACATTTAAATTTAAGGAGTCATCCCACTTAGGGCATGGTGGATATAGTTGTATATACTAAGGCTCTGTTTACCAGACACTTGTGGGCCATTACCTAACGCCAGGGTTATAAGGGACAGTACCAATCCTAAAATGTAAAAACTGTAACTTTTTATGTCATTTAGTTTTCTCTTCTATTCACCTCTGGACAAATGAAGAAAGATAATTCTACAAATAGGGATATGCAGTGGAGGTTGAGCAGAACCACAAGTCTCTTTATAGTTCAGGACACATGAAACCATTTCTCCTTCCTCTTGTTTGTTGGTCTGTACAGCTATTCATCTAAAGCAGACAGCTTGCTGCCTCCTGTACCACATTCTAGCATTGGTTTTTTACTAAAATATTTACATGACACATGGGACGGAGCTTTAATAAAAGTCATGCATCATTCAGGAGTGCCTAGAAAAGCTTAATATCTAAATACAGCCCTGTATATACTTCTACATCTTATATCAGCCGTGTATTAAGTGTCTTGCTCACTAGCCTCTGTCATCATCATCAATCTATTGTGCACTTTCTTACCTAAACCAAGCATGTGAAACCTAAAGGGAGCAGTGGGAATTGAGTGGGATACATTAGCAAGGGGCATAATTATGTCTACTGACATCACTTTGGTAATTATTATTATGGTAATAATTGTTAGTTACAATACTTATCCCTGGCAAAGGTTCCATGTAGGGATGTCCAGATACCAGCTCAGATACCAGTGCCGATACTTGGCATTTTCATGAGAAAGAGCAGCTGGGACCTGGCTCTGGCGCTCCACCACTGTCCTGAAATCATTAGTCTGTATTGTTTTAGAAAAAACTGTCACATGACAATACACAAAAATTTATCAGTACTTGTATCTGTGAGTACTTGGACAAGTATCAGTACTTGTACTTGAAAAAATTGTATTGGTGTATCCCTTATATATATTTATTTTTAAAAAATCATACATTTAAACAGGGATGCACAAATCCCAGGAGCTCCGTATGCTCCTTAAAAATGACAGCTGCCTCCTAACTTTTGAGTTTTTCTCTAGACTAGTCTTGGAGCTGGAAAAGCATCTCTACATGTCCTTGTACCGAGTACGGTACTTGGTATCTGAACATCCCTAGTTCTATGAAACATCTTTTTTTTTTCATTCTTTAATAACTGAAACCATACAGGGAACAAGCATAGATAGGAAACATTTTTTTGAAGCATTCAGCTTAAAAAAAATATAAGGTAAGGTAATCTAATCTTTATCAATTGGAGTCTTATTTAGTTTAAATTTTGTAAACTAGCTGAGCGTGATAATAAATGATTGAGAGGGCCACCTAAAAAAATAAAAAAAAAGCCACACAGGTTTGTTCTGCCTGATCTATAACTTCTTCTGCCAGCTATGTATGAATATTTTACCTTTACGTCCTCTGACAGCATTTTTTATATTTTGTTTCTCTTTATACACTGAAGCCTTCCCTCTGTCTACTTTCATCTGCTAAACCCTCTAAAGCAGTCCTGCAGGAACATCCCTCTTATCTTCTTATGCCACCTTGGCTACCCTCTGCTGTCCTTTCTTCCTCCATGCCTCCTACACTAGTTCTGAATGTATTTATTTTTTTTAGAGTATTTGTAACACAGCGCTAGAGATGGAGTCAACAAAATGTGTGTAGATGTTCACAGATTGGGTTAAGTGATCAATGTATATCAATGTATAAATTATGTGTGTTAGAAACAATCATAAAAAGTAAACGAAAAAGATGAATTGTATCAATGTGTGAACAACATGAGTGAGCAATTAACTGAAGGTTAAGTGTAGCCTATAGCTAATAAATATTAATGACATTCAAACATAGGTGAATAATCGTGATAAACTTAGATGACAAAAAATAGAAATAGATAGTAAAATTAAATAATAATAAAATGGATAAAGTCAGCTTCGATTAAGATTAAGTACTAATAAATAAAATTAGATGATAGTAGATAGATGAAATCAGCTTCGATTAGTGAGTATAATACGGCATTACAACTTAATTGAAATATATAACACAGTATCAGAAAAAACGTCTCAAAAAGATTACAGTGGATAATCTGTGACAGTTTTTTAAAAAGATCTGACAAAAAATCTAATAACCCAAAAAATCGGAAGAATAGCATTCAGTGATCTATATTGATCTTGAATTATTTCTTTAAATAAGTGAAGGCGATGCCAGAGACAGCAATGTTCAATGAGCGATATGAAGAGTAGATTTATGCTCACTCATGTTGTTCACACATTGATACAATTCATCTTTTTCGTTTACTTTTTATGATTGTTTCTAACACACATAATTTATACATTGATATACATTGATCACTTAACCCAATCTGTGAACATCTACACACATTTTGTTGACTACATCTCTAGCGCTGTGTTACAAATACTCTATCTACTTAAAGGCGGTTCACCTCCTTTATTTCATAGCTGCTTTTGGTACAAGTACAATTTAGACATATCCAGGAGCGCAGATTTATTTTTCCTATTTATTTTTTTTGCAATGCCCTCTGGCCAATCCTATATATGTTTTATTCCTCAATACCGCTTGTGTCAAGCCTACAACTTTTCCCTCCAGGCCTGTGCGTATCTTCTCCTCCTGTTTCAAAATTTTGCTCTCTGTCTATACAGTAAAACATTTCTGCTCATCATCCATATTTCCATCTTACCCACAGCTGTCGGCCCCAGTAATCTGCCTCTATGAGTCTGAGAACATTCGGGTGTTGACACTGTCCCAGAATATTAATTTCTGATATATGATCTTCTAGAGCTTCTTCCGAGAAAATTTCCAGTATTTTCACTGCAGCCAGTGCTTGAGTCTCCTTGTGATGTACCTAAATAATATATAAAAGGGATTATTTAATGCATTGAAAAGAACAGTGATGCACAGAAACTCATACCAACCAATCAGATTTGTCTTCCATCAGTTTGGCACAATAAGAATAATAATAAGTGATTGCTAGGTGCCTTCTAAGGTGCCTGTACTTTACACATTACTTTAATGTAACAGAGAAACAACAGCAATAGCAGCCCATGTGTCTACTATGGGGCCTGGGAGTGGGAGAGGGCCCTATTAAGCCCTATTTATACTTGGGGCTAGATCACTGAGTCCCACCATTTTCTCTATGAGACTCATGCGATCCGGTGCAGGTGAAAGACACTGTATAATCCAATAACAACTGTCGGGTGCGGTCATCAACAGGTAATCGCAACCTGCAAACAGCTGCAGGCAGTGGCACCTGTCATTAAAATATAGCCTCTATTATCCGTAGAGTAGTTTTCATGGATTTCCTGGATCCATCATTTTTGGCATAGGACTGTTATTTCCAATAACAATTGAACATTGCAAATCTGCTATAAGTGTTTGTTACTTGTAAAGTGTCCCCTCACAAGATCATAACTATGTGCAAGGGAGTCCTACAGCAAAACTGTTAAGGGGCCTCGTCTCTCTAATCACAATCCCAAAGGCCATTCCACAAGAGGTGCAGAACACTAGTTGTTTTTCTGCACTCCTGTGGGCCCCAAAGCAGTTCCATGGTCTGCTATGACTATAGTTATATCCTTGGTTCCTCTCATTAAAGCATACCCTAATCCTAAAAAGAGAACTATGGGGTAAGTGTTTTTCCCCATAGTTCTTCTAAGGGTCACGGGAGGGCATACTGTATACTAATCTCCTCCTGTGACCCAAAGTTTAGTATATCACGAGCTACAGCTCGCTATATACTGATACCGTCGCAGCCGGGTGCTGTCAAGATCCACCCAGCTGCGTGAGTGACAGCGGGCTCTGCCTATCTAGTGCCCGCCTTCTCCCTGTCCGTTCCTCCACTCACTGCTAGGGGATTGGAGAGGGGAGGGGAATCCCTGCGGGGAGCCGTGACTGACAGTCACGGCTCTCTGCAGGGAGATGATCGAGAAGTGAGCAGGCGACGGTATGTGTTTGCTCACTTCCCAATCTATTTTCAGTTTCATTGTCACACATCGGCTCAAACTATGAGGATGAGTGATTTTCACTCACCTCATAGTTCCCCTTTAACTCTCCAATTACCTAAACCCTGAAGCAACCTAAATCCCTAAAATGAATCCTTACCCCTAAAACCTAACCTAACGCTTACTTTACTTCAACCCTAATTGTACACCTCACCTACTCCTTAAAATAAGACCATGAATCTTAAACTACCTTCTAATCTCCCCTTTAACCACAATCCTAACCTTTAAAACTTAATCCAATCCTCAAACCCAACTTTCCCAACTTTCACCCAAACTTAATGCCAAAAATAGTCTCTTAGTGGTACATCTTTGGCCTCACACCTGACTTAATACTTAAAAGGAAATTATAATGGTTTTGGATTAAATTTACTTTAGATTTTGTTAACATTTAAAATCTGCTTTTATATATTTATATTATAAGGGGGACAGGCTCAACTGGTATTGGCATCAGTAAACCATGCACAAGATAGGGACACCCAGGAACAGTACAAGGTTTGTCCTGCTTTTTTTTCTTCAGTAATGCTAGCCATACACTGCTCAAATTAGAGCAGTGGGTGGCCTCCGTCCATTTGGCAAAAGCTGAATTGCCAATCAACTTTAGCCAGTCTGAAAATTCTGTGATGAATAGTGACTGCAGCCAATTAGCTGCAGTCGCTGTTTGGGTATTCTAACAGCAGCACACCCAGCACACCCGCTTGGATGGTTATATCCATGCTAAATGCTACTTGAGCCTTGGACAGCTGAGACTAATAATGAGGTCTGGCTACCAAGTAAGATATAATCCACATAAAGCACTGCAAAGCCTCCTGGACCTAGAGCAGAACCTATTAAGGTCTGAGAAAACATCAAATGTTGTTTTCTCCATAGCAGGCAGAGACCCTGCAGCTCCTCATCCTATGTAGGTGTGAAACCTATGTGACACATATAAACCATGCACAGTCCTGCTAACCAGTGCTCCTTTCAGGTAAAACTTTGGGACAAGCCATCTATGTAGGTACCAGAGACCAGACCAGATCTCTCCACCTGCTGGCTGGATAATAACCACCTTCGCACCGGAGCAATTTTGTAATTTTTGCACACACAAACTACAATCTTTAATTTTGGATAGAAAATTATTTTAAAACCCCAAAGAATAATATATTTTCTGAAAGCAGAGACCCTGTAGTATAAAAAAATGGTAGCTGCATTTTTTTATGTTGTACGATTTTTGCGCAAATGTTTATCAAATCAATATTTTTAGAAAAAAAAACACTTGAATGAATTGTAGTGCACACAAACACATTGTAATACCTTTTTTTGATAAAATATAAAAGATGGGGTTACATCGAGTAAATAGATACCAAACGTGTCAAGCATTAAAATTGCGTGCTCCCGTGCAATGGCGAGTAACTATGGTACTCAAATTGTCCATAGGCAAACCTTTAAAGGCCCTTACTGCTCATCAGTTTAGAATTAACAGCGAATTATGGCCCTACAATTATTGGTCGCACTCCGACATTCACGGCGATACCTAACATGTGTTTGGCGCAATCGTCGTTAACTCCAGGCACATATAAAACATAAATGAATGCAGCTTTTTATATTAACATATCATTCATTTTTTAAGCAAGTAGTGTAAGTGTCTGAATTTGGCTTGGTATTAGCTTCTTGCAGTGTGATGTACGGTGTGTACAGGAGGGCTAAGGCCAGGTTCACACCTGGGCATCTGTGACCGCATGGCAATCGTGCACAAAGCCACGGAGTCGCACACCACTGCTGATTGCGCTGCGGAGCCATTATTTTCTAATGGCACCCCAGTCGCGGAAGGCGGTTGAAAAAACGGGCTGTGTGTGTCGTGAAAAAAAGGTACATGTACCCTTTTTCAGCGATTGCCTGAGCGGATGTAACTCCATTGAAATCAATTGGGCCAGGCTGCAACCGTTGTTTGGAACCGCACAGCATCGCCGCATGGTCCCGGGATCGTCCAACTCTGTACCAGCCCCCCGGAAGGGGAAGGGAGAAGCTGCACAAGGAGTTTTGTGTGCTTTGTGTGCTGCAGTGCACAAAGCATGCTGACAGAAGGAGAGAGCAGTGTCACAGAGAGATGAACTCATCACTGTGCTGCTTCTAGTTCTGCTGTCCGGTCACAGGGAGAGTGTGGGGAGGAAACTTGTGGAGGAGAAGTTGAGTAAATCTCAGGACTGGATAGACAGAAATACAAACTATTGGCAGGTAATATGTATTATTTAAATGTATTTCATCTGTGGATTTACCTGTTTGTCTGAAGTTCCGTTCTAAAGGTGCCCATACACTTTACAACCCTCGCAAGACTTTTGTCTTGCGCGGGTTGTAAAGTACTTAAAAAAAACGTACGATCTGCCCATCTTGGACAGGCAGATCGTACTTGCGATCATCGCAATGAGGGGCGGGCTTGCAAGGACGGCAAACGGGCAGTGTGCGCGTGCGCACACTGGCCCGTTCGTCAGTTGTCGAACAAGCAGGCCACTAACTCGCCTCATTGCAGTCATCGCAAGCCCGCCCGCAAGTACGATCTGCCTGTCCAAGATGGGCAGATCGTACGTTTTTTTTAAGTACTTTACAACCCTCACAAAACAAAAGTGTATGGGCACCTTAAAGCTAGCCGGTCTAGGTAAGAAGGACAATACTTGCCAGAAAAGATGAATTATACTCCAGCTGCCCATGTATCCTACTTTCCTTCTGTTTCAGTGCTGCATGCTCCATCAGTCTCTTCACTAACACTATCACCAAAGAAAGCCTTAAATTAAAACTCTGGGCAGAATTATTCCCAATCCTTGCAATGGGGCCACCCTGCACTGCAAGGATGAAGTGCTAATTTCATCTAGGGACAGAAATAGCAAATTATTCTCACCTGAACCTCGAAACCGGCGGGGTGCTAGACCGGTCGCATGGTGTCTTCATGTCCTTTACACTGTATAGAATGTGATGACTCACAGGACTTTAGACCTGCAGGGGTAGCCACACTGCAAAGGTTAAGAATAATTCTGCATGGAGTTCTTGTTTAAAGCAGAAAAAAACTCAGTTTATTCTTGTTCTCACCATGAACAGGATGTAACACAGATTAGTGCAATTGTGAAAACAGCAATTGTGTTCAGTAACCCATGACCACTGTATCTGATTAGCATTTCTGGCTACAAAAGTATTTATATATACCAGATCACAATCAGTTTTTATCATTTGGTAATGTAGCAGTGTTTGTACCGACCTTCAATAGCTTTACATGAATAGGAACTTTCTGTGGTTGCTCAGAATGAATACGTGCCAGTCACTGTAGTAGATTTCAAAACAGGAAAAAGGTTTTTTGCACAAAGCAATATGTGAAGGAGGGTGAGGTCCGGATCAGGTTAATCCCAAGTACACTGAGTATAAATCGTTAGTCTAAGCCTCAGTCTCTTCTAGATCTCTCCTTAAAATCTTCTCAAAGTCTCTAAATGTTACCATTCAAATTACAGACTATGCTGGCTGGAGTCCTTCAAAGCTCGGGCTCTTCGACGACAGAGATTCAAGTGGTAACTAAGGGGGTTATCCAAAAAGGAGCCAAAGGATTAAGCCGAGTGTTCAGCCGAATCGAAGGGCTGCTTTACGAGCTATTCACAGTAGCCCGTACAGAAGCCGAAGAACTCAGCCGAGCCAAAGCATATGCCGTAGCGGACCATTCTCCCCGCAACTTGGTCAGGTAGGAATGTCAGGCGGGTCCCCTGAGTAAAAAAAACTAAATATTTGGGGTTCACCCCAAGGCAAAGGTCATACCAGGCCCTTTAGGTCTGTTAGAAATTTTAAGGGGGAACCCCACCACCCAAAAATGGGGAAAAAAAGTGGTGCCCCACCT